GTATTCCCGCATTATACTGGTGGGCGACCTAGAACAGAAATGTAAAGACAGAAATGTATTCCCGCAATATACTGGTGGGTGACCTAGGACGGAAATGTAAAGACAGAAATGTATTCCCGCATTATACTGGTGGGCGACCTAGAACAGAAATGTATTCCCGCATTATACTGGTGGGCGACCTAGAACAAAAATGTATTCCCGCATTATACTGGTGGGCGACCTAGAACAGAAATGAAAAGACAGAAATGTATTCCCGCATTATACTGGTGGGCGCCTATTTAACTAAGACATGAAAATATTTCTCTTATTATACAGGTGGGTGCCTATTTAAACTAAGACATAAAAATATTCCTCTCATTATACAGGTGGGCGCCTATTTGAACTAGGACATAAAAATATTCCTCATGGCAAATACTGCTAAGTGAGTTCGATATCATCTATGTAACTCAGAAAGCAGTCAAAGGACAAGCATTGGCAAACCATCTTGCTGAAAATCCTATGGGAGGAGAATACGAACCACTAAAAACGTATTTTCCTGACGAAGAAGTATCATTCATAGGAGAGGACATTGCTGAAGCCTACAACGGTTGGAGAATGTTCTTCGACGGAGCTGCCAATTTCAAGGGATTGGGCATTGGAGCAGTTTTGGTATCAGAAATAGGTCAACATTACCCGGTGTCTGCAAAGCTTAGGTTTTTGTGCACCAACAATATGGCAGAATATGAGGCTTACATGGGGCTCAATTTGGCCATAGATATGAATATACAAGAGTTCTGGGGTTGTTAAGGTGTGTTGACGCAAAGGAGGCTTCCAGATTGCTTGAGGAGGTGCATGCCAGAACTTGCAAACCACATATAAATGATTTTGTTCTAGCCAAGAAGATACTCAGAGCTAGATATTTTTGGATGACCATGGAAACGGATTGCATCCGGTACGTACAGAAATGCCACAAATTCTAGGTACATGCAAACATGATAAGGGTACCACCTAATGAGCTCAACACAACAAGTGTACCTTGGCCTTTTGCTGCCTGGGGAATGGATGCCATCGGTCCGATAGAGCCCACTACTTCAAACGAGCATCGGTTCATTTTAGTGGCTATCGACTATTTCACAAAATAGGTCGAGGTCGCATCTTCCAAAGTTGTATCCAAGAAAGTCATCGCAGACTTTGTCAAGGATCGTATTGTTTGCCGATTCGGGGTTCCCAAGTCCATTATCACTGATAATGCCGCCAATCTCAACAGTGACCTGATGAAAGCCATGTGTGAAACCTTCAAAATCAAGCACAAAAACTCTACATCATACATGACTCAAATGAATGGAGTTGTGGAAGCTGCCAACAAAAACATCAAGAAGATACTAAAGAAGATGGTAGAAATCACAAACAATGGTACGGGAAGTTACCCTTTGCCCTATTGGGGTGTCACACTATGGTCCGCATATCAACTGGGGCAACCCCCTATTTACTGGTTTATGGTACCGAAGCTGTCATTCCAGCCGAGGTAGAAATTCCCTCTTTAAGGGTCATACATGAAGCTGAAATCAGTGTTGCAGAATGGATAAGGAGCTGCTATAAGCAACTAGCCCAAATATACGGAAAAAGAATAAACGTAGTATGCCACGGTCAGCTTTATCAGAACAAAATATCCAGAGCTTTTAACAAAAGGGTCAAACCAAGACAATTCGCACCAGGATAGTTGGTGCTGAAGAAGATCTTCCCGCATCAAGATGAAGCTAAAGGGAAATTCTCTCCCAA